ATGTGCATGTATAGAATGCCATTGCTACAAGTGGAAGTTTAAACTGATGCACCACAGTGCCTAACCCTCATATAATTTAAAGCTGTAGTAACACTCATCATATGGGAAGTCCAATCTAAATATCTGGAACACATCAGTGAGCAAAACAAACCAGAAAAATCTTTTTCTTTCTCCAATCTAAAATACAAAAGAATATCCATAGCAAAAGCTATGAAAAATAAGGCATTCTGGCAGTGCAGGAAGATCCATCAGCTAATAAGAATAGAGCTCAGGCTCTGTGGTAAGCAGCCAACAATCAAGCTAGCTGCCCCCAAGACACAAGAGGCCCAGACCTGGGACTGTGTTCCCCTGCACCTACACTCTGCAGTCAGCAGATGCCATGCAGGCTTGCTGCCAATGGGATGCAAGAACCCTGGCTCCACGCTCCTGGAAGCCTAGGAGGACAGGGGATAATGCTGGTGAAGGCCTTGGGAACTGTGGCTTCATGTCCAGGTAGGTGAAGCCCAGGGCTGAGCCTGAGGATCACTCCACATGCATGGTCTATGAATTGATCAGGGTAGAAGGTAAAGAGATGTGTGAGAGGGAACATTGCAAAGGAAATATATTGGTGACAAGGAATGACCACCACTGAAGTTAGGGGTCTTAGCCTACTTAATAGGAGTAGATATCAGTATTCACCAGTGAGAATCAGAACCAGGGATGTGTAAGGTTAAGTTGGAACATGACAATAACCAGCACATGAAAAAACCAGGTCTTGGGGCAGATAATGTGCGAGATATGTTGGTTCATCCTGGAAGAATTCCAATTTCTGCTGGTTAGCTTAAAGCTGGGGGATGGTGATGGGCTGAGCTAGGTGTGACCATGAAACCATCCAATACTCATGGGTTCTGGGGTTGGGAACAGAATGGAGAGATCCAGGCTGCAGCACCTGCAAGAGCACCCAAGAAGAGAGTGTGGGCCAGGCCAGCCACAACATCCACTAGCTCATACAAAGGCTGAAACAGATTGGGCAGACTATCCCAAGTAATGGCCTGTGACCCTCTGGTACATAAGAGATCTGGGTCTGGGAGTGGGCCTGGTGGGAGAACTTTGGAAATTCCCCTGGTAAGCCATAGGCCCCACTGGAGGGCATGTGGTTCAGGCCTGGGTATTGATCATGCTGGGCAAGGTAGCTCCACTCATTGCCAAATGTGTGGGTTGGTTCTGAAAGGGGGCAGACTGGGCAAAACCAGGCCAACCTTAACCCACTGGCAAGTGCAGGAGCCATGCTGGAGTGTGGGTCTTACTGGGCTAGGCTATACACATACCAGTTTGCATGAAGGAGGAATGGAGTATACTGGGCAAGGATAGGTTGCAGCACTTGCCAGTGATAGTTGGGACAGAACAGGCTACAACATCCGATAGCAAAGGCCAAGATGGGCAATGAGCTATGCCAAGCTGGGTCGGAGCAACCAGTGGCACACACAAGATCTGTGGCAGGAACAGGCTTGGTTGGGTGCTAAGAGGATGCCTCAGCTGGGTTGTAGTTCCCACTAGTGTGCACAAGAGCCAGAATGGGAGCAGAGATCAGGGTTGGACATGACTGTAGTGTCCCTTGACACAGATATGTTTTGGGTCTGGGCTATGCCAGACTGGACTAGACTCCAGTACCCATTGGTGCTCATGAGAGCCAGGGTAGGGATAGGATGGTCTGTGCAAAGTCACGGCACCCACTGAACCACACGAGAACTGTGTTCAGACATGGACAAGATATGACTGAGCTGTAGCACCCAACAGTACTGGAATGGGTGTGAGCCATTTGGGCAAGGCTACTCTTCCAGCCAGAACAGGAGGTAGACTAAGGCAGGACCAAGGACTCATTGTATTTATATATTCATTTTATGAGATATGTGTAATCAAAAGGCAATTTGTTGTCAGATATATAAAATAATGTATAAAAGTAAATTGAAATATAGTCCCAACATATCTCATAAAATGAACATATAAATACTGGAGGTGGAAACAAAATGTATGCTTATGAACTCAATTCTTCAGGAAAAAAAAATGATGTACTCTGAAGAACACTGAGGTAATTCAAGGACTTAACATGGTGTGGTCAAAGATGACACTGTGTGAACCACTGACCTTGATTTTCAACTCACATGACCAATTACCTATCCGTTTCATACTAGTAACCTGTGTGGTACAGTAATTAAGCCCTTTGGGAAACTCTGCCTTTACATTGATCCAGCTCATCTTTTGTCAATTCCTAGAAACAGGTCTCATATCACTTTAACCTCTGCGACTTTCATCTAAGTCTTCAACTTGTAATGCAATGACAAGTCCAGTTCATAAATAATTTCTCATTGTAAGTTGTCTTACAGCCATTTACAATAGGTTTTTCTCTAATTAGCAGGAATCTAACTGGAGGTAAACCTCAAACTATTTAATATACCTTATGCTAAACTTTTTACTAATTTGATATCCCCAAAAGAGATATGAGCAAATCTATTAGACATGTTAGTGATGAGAAATATTAAGAGACAGAGAACACTGAATTTCCCTTTTACACACAAATTCAAAATGCTCCATGTCCAGTATTTTTTTATTCCATTTTTATAGAAGCAGAATACTGAACAAATTTTTATTTAGAGACAAACAAAACGTCTCTCATTCAAGAAATTCTACATTACCATTCATCACTCATTCATCTATACCTATTTGCTTTATCTCCAACTATACACCAGAAACAGTGCTACTGCTGAGAACATTAGATAATTTCAGAAACTGAAGGCCTCATAGAGGATAAATTGAGATTGACATATAATTTTTTGTTTCAGTCTTTCATAATACTATGGTTAAAAAGAAATGAGCTGTGCTTACAAATTCAAAAAAGCTGGCCTATAAAACCAATTAATTGTAAAAGCCAGTTGCCAGGTGAATTCAACCTTGAGGCTGGGGTGAAAGGACCTCCCAGCAGCATGGTTGCTGCTGGCGGGATCTGAGCCAGGTCAAACTCAATGTTTGGGACCCTAGCCCCAGTCACTACTGCCAACCGGGGGCAAAGGGGATAAATCAAGGACTTACGTGGGTCCAAGAGGGACTTGGCAGACCTTGCTAGACACAGAGTGGCACCCACCAGCATATGTGTGGATTGGTTGGGTTGAACTAAGCTTCAATGCCCATTAACGCATATGAGAGCTCAATGGGATGTCAGACAGACTGGACCTGTCTGCTGTACATACAGGCAATAATGGGAACCAAGGCAGGGGACAGGCCTGGTGGGAGTTATTGCAGCTTGCTCTGACTAGGCAGCAGCTCCCACTGGCATACGTGAATGCCAAGTGTGTGGTGGGCAGGATCGGGTTGGGCTGCAACAACCATTGGTTTGTGTAGAAGACAGGGCTGGAGGCAGAACCGACCCAGTGATTGCAACCACCAGCGTGTGCATAAGCTGATTGGGGAAATGGACTGTGCCAGACCCTGTACTGGCAACTACACACAAGAATTAAGTTTGGGATCACCTCAGCTGAAGTTTCGTTGGGGATCCCCCTAAATGAATTGCTGGACTCAGAACCCCAACCATGGAGAGAATTTTAGGTTCCATGGTCTGGGCATGGAGTGTATGTACCAGAGGGGGCCTCCTCAGTGGCTTAGACGGAGCAGTGGACAACATATCAAGGAGCACATGGAGGATATGGCAGTACATTGGAGTCTGCAGAGAACACCTGGTACCACAAACAGAGGACAGAGGACAGAACAAATTGATTAACTACCCCAGCCAAGTGTTGGAGGTGCATATCTGGGCAAAGACTCTAGGGTGGACTATGTCAACCAGTGGATTCTGGAAAGATTTCATCATACTTGGAGTGGCGAGATTGGCTGTAATTCAGAACTGTTGAACTATTGAAACCTCTTGAGCATGACCCTCAAGAGCATGCCCCACACCCGGGACCCTGGGGTGGTGTCGGGTGGCTGTCTTCCATCCCAGGGTACAGAGACATTTGGGAGGCTGGGTATGGCTTCTCCCCTTGCCTTCTTTCCCCCAGACACAGGAAAGAAAAAAAGAGAATGTGGAAACGGTGATCTCACCCACGTTCCTGCAGCCCTTAACCCTTATCACCCTAGTCAACTATGTAAAAAATCATCAAAAATAAAAATAATTTTTAGAAAAAGCTGATTGCCTTTTTAAAAAAAAATTTTTAATTGGGGTAGGTATTTTGCATAGCAGTTAAAATACACTTGGGATACACACATGCACACATGCACTCTGATGCTCCTTCATTTGAGTCCCAACTCAATCCTTAGCTCCAATTTTCTGCTATATGCACCCTGGGAAGTAGCAGATAATACCTCAAGCCATTGGGTCCTGTACTGAAGTCCCAGATCCAGGCTTCAGCCTGACTACCTGCTAATGCAGTGTTTGAAGAGTGAATCACATATGATGCCACCCAAAGAAATAAACCAGATTTTTGAAAAATAAAAATCATAAATTATTGGTGTTTATTCAGACTAATAAATATTCATAATCAGCATGAAGGGAAACCTTTTCCAATGCAGGATTAAAAGGGAAGCCAATAGAAAATTGCCTAGTAAGCATGTTAATTTAAAATACCTGAATACTTCCATGAATATTGTATAATATACACCGAGGAACGAGCTAAACCCAACAGTCCAATACCTCCATGGTGACACAATAAGCATTTTCTTTAAATACTCTGTGCTCAATGTTGTACATTGTAGGCTACCAAAGCTAAATCCTCGGTCCTGTTTTTCTCTTCTCCCACCTGATTTTTTTTTTGACAGCATTTATTTCTATTTCAGACTAGTGAAAATCTGTTGTGGTTGCTGCCACCCATTCACAAATTTAGGTAAAGAGGGAGCAGTGACACAAACATATACTCTTAAGACCGACCTATCAATTTCTTACTCATAGGAAAATACCATTTGTAGTAAGCTGTTGCAATTACCATATATATAATGACTTTTAATTTTGCCAAAAATTACATCTCTCTTTCTAGGTCGTAAAAATGATGATTATTGTTGTGGTGACATTTGCCATCTGCTGGCTGCCCTACCATATTTACTTCATCCTGACTGCAATCTATCAACAGTTAAATAGGTGGAAATACATCCAGCAAATCTACCTAGCTAGCTTTTGGCTAGCAATGAGTTCAACCATGTACAATCCCATCATCTACTGCTGTCTGAATAAGAGGTAAAAACAAAGCTAACAATTGAACCTTTCTTGTCTCTCCTTTAAGATGTGCCAGCTTTCTGACGAAAATATGAAGAACAAAGTCTCAGATTCACCTATAAAAAGACTATAACTTGATTTTTCAGATGCCTCCTTACGTTCCAAAACACTCCACTTGAAACTTACATGTTCAAAAAAAAAAAAACGTTATTATCCATTGTAACTAGGGAATTCTTTAGTTGCCAACTTTTTCTTCCAAAACATTCCGTATTTTACCTATAAAAGAAAAATAAATGTCCACATGATTGAAGATGGTGTTACTGAAATTCTGTTGAAATCCTCAAAGAAATTTCCTAGAAATTCACAGATAATCCATGTAAGATGAAGAGATGATGCCATAAATGAATGAGCTTATAAATTCAGATATGACCATGGGGAAAGCAACAATAAAGACAAGCAAGATTCCAGTCACTTTACCTGGATAACACTTGGGAACAAACAGGAAGTGTGCAGCCTCAATGGTAATGGTTAGTGATGAAACAGGGGCAACAAAGGGAAAAAATGTTTGTAAAATATATTTAATGTATACATTATAAATATATTGTAAAATATGCAATGTACACATGTATAATGTATTATGTATACATACATGTGTATATATATAATGTATGCCATGTGTTATATATTTATAATATATAATAGGTCAAAATTGAGACAGGGAAAAAAGTATAGTGTGGTTTCTAAGTGAAGTCATCTTAGTTGTATGATAAACATGTAAAGAATTAAGATTAAAATTTGCAGGGTCAGGCCCGGCGCTATAGCATAGTGGTTAAAGTCCTCACCTTGCACGTGCCAGGATCCCATATGGTCGCTGGTTCTAATCACAGTGACCTTGCTTCCCATCCAGCTCCCTGATTATGGCCTGGGAAAGCAGTCAAGGACTGCCCAAAGCCTTGGGACCCTGCACCTGCGTGGGAGACCCAGAAGAGCTCCAGGCTCCTGGCTTCAGATTGGCTCATCTCCAGCTGTTGCAGCTGTTTAGGGAGTGAACTATCAGACAGAAGATCTTCCTCTCTGTCTCTCCTCCTCTCTGTATATCTGCCTTTCCCAAAAAAAAGTAAATAAATCTTTTTTAAAAATTTGCAGGGCCAATAATCTGCTAAATGAATAAATGTGTTTTTTGTATAAATGGAAATGAGACAATATAATTAAGCATATGAGTCAATTCCTAAGCTTTCTTTGGTTAGAGATCCACCAACTGTATTTTAGGTTCCTTAAATAATTAACTGATTTTTTTTCACTAATTAGATAAGCCAATTCTAGTTTACACCATCCCATTAGCTATATGTGTGTGTGTGTGATTTAAACCATCTTCATTTACTGTTTTAAAAAGGTAAGTACTTTGTGTTTCCAATATGATTAAATAAAACTATCAAAATGTGTGATTTTTAAATATTTTTTGTCTATTTGAAAGGCAGGTTTACAGAGAGAAGACAGAGAGAGGTCTTTAATCTGCTGGGTCACACCCCAAATGGCTGCAGCGGCCAGAGTTGAGCCCATTTGGAGCCAGGATCAAGCAGTCCATGAACAAGGAGGAGGATCAGAATGAAGCAGCAGAGCCCAGCACATAGCCTAGTGGCTAAATCCTTGCCTTGCATGCCCAGATTCCCATATGGACACATGTTCATATCCTGATTGCTCCACTTCCCATCCAGCTCCTTGATTATGGCCTGGGAAAGCAGTAGAGGATGGCCCAAAGCCTTGGGACCCTGCACCCACATGGGAGACCCAAAAGGGTCTCCTAGATCCTGGCTTTGGATCAGCTCAGCTTTGGCCCTTGAAGCCACTTATGGATTAAACCAGCAGACAGAGGATCTTCCTCTCTCTATCTCCTTCTCTCTGTATATCTGCATTTTGAATAGAAAATAAATAAATATTTTTTAAAAAATAAAAAAGAATGTAGTAACCAGTAGTTGAACTGGCACCCTAACGGGATGCTGGCTCTGCAGGCTAAGGATTGCCTTGCTACACTACCATGCTAAACCCCAAGATGTACAATTCTTAGGCTAATAAGATTTTATAAATATTTAATTATGTGTTCAGCTATTTTTAAAAAGTGTGTCATTTTTATATGCCTTAACTTCCCAGCATAATTCAATAATTCTTAAAATAGAAAACCATTGCAGTGACCCAGCAATGAAAAAAGAAGACCTCCTCTCTTTGTCTCCCCTTCTATATAAAATCTGCCTTTCAAATAAAAGTGGGTTTTTTTGTTTGTTTTTTGTAGTCTTTTTTCCTTTCAAATAAAAGTAAACAAATCTTTAAAATAATACACTGTTTCCTTGGCACATTGGTTACTTTGTGCTGTATTTTTGCTATTTAAGGATTTTCTTACTGATTTGAAATAAAGACTATGTTCAAACAAGAATTTCTAAAAGTAATATCAACACTATGGGCTTTAAGAATTTGATTGGAAAATCAAGTTGACCAGCCGTAACTCGCTGAAGTAAGGGTCTCTGTGACAACTGGAGAAAATATCTGTTTGAAAACATGACGTTTCCTCTCTATGGTCTGCTTCTCAGATTCAGAGCTGGGTTCAAGAGAGCTTTCCGCTGGTGTCCTTTTATCCAAGTTTCTAGCTATGATGAGCTGGAGCTCAAGACCACCAGGTTCCACCCGACACGGCAAAGCAGCCTGTACACAGTGACGAGGATGGAGTCCATGACGGTGGTGTTTGACCCCAGTGATGCGGACAACACCAGAACCAGTCGCAAGAAGAGAGCTGCACCAAGAGAAGCACAGTGCACTGCCTGCTCCCGCAGGAATTCCAAATCTGCTTCTACCACATCCAGCTTCATAAGCTCACCCTATACCTCTGTGGATGAATGCCCTTAAACACATTTGCTGCTGTGAAAATTTCATGTGAAACTATCACGGTCTCAACTCAGGCCCCATTCTCCCACTCATCAATCATCTCTGTCCTACACACTCTGGAAGAAGAAGGGTGATTTTTTGGGCAGCGCTGCTTAAAATGACAAAGTTAACATTTAAATGTAACATAAATGTTATTAAGCTATTAGCCAGTTCCCCTGAAAAAGAAGCTTTAAGTTTTATTCTTTGAGAATTCTAAATTTTTTATGCAAAAAAAAAAACATGTAACTACTGTGTGTTTAGTATCCAGTGTTTTTTTCCATTTAAAAATTGCAGCAAAATGGGTGTGTCCTTAAGACTATTCTCTCATTTGCAGGTTAATTTTTTCTATCACTGTAGTGGGAAAATGAGCTACTCAATTATCCTTTATCCATTTCATAGCTATAGATGAAAATGCTGTCGTTTTTCTGAAACCCAAAGAAAACCAAGAACTACATTTAACTATAGTATTTATCTTCCAAACTTCAGTGCTTCTGAATTCTCTTATCTTGAATTAGGGATAATCTCAGTACCAATCAAGAATTCACTAACTTTCTGAGACTGTGAATGTGTACCATAAACTTGTCTTTTAATATACTCAGTTGTATTTTTCAATCTATGATGATTACCTGTAACACCTTACTTAACCAAACATTTTTTTGAATAACATGATCAGACAATTCTTGAGTGTGAATCATGATCTATTACTATCATGTCAATTACAGCTTTTCTCCTTCCTTTTCTGGAGCCCAAACCAGAAACATTCCATTGTTTCAAAGTGCTAAAGGTCTAAATAACTTAACTCTGTATTTGTGCTGAATTTCATGTGAAACTAATAAACAAACTGACATATAACACACATCCAAATGGTTCAACTCATGCAATCATTGGTTAAATATGATTTAATGATTATATGACTGAATATGAAACAGTGTTATATCCATTACTGGATAGCTTGAAACAACTCAATAAAGCCTCTGAAACTTGTGTGCATGTATTAAATAAGCAACTTCAATATTACTCAGAATTTAATCATTTCAATGTAATGTTTTTTAAATGTTCCTAAAAACTCTAAATGTTAATCAAATGTAAAAGTGTCAGGAAAAAGCCTAATACGTAAAAGTAGGTAGTATTTTCTTCTTAAATTTAAAAGTCACATGAGTCTAAGGTTAAAGTTCTAGACCTGTGGGAACATATTCAGATGTAGAATATGAATGTCAACTTTGACCTTCAGATTAATGCTGCTAACCTCCACCAAAGTATATTTCAAAAATAATTCCTGGTCATCACACAGTTGGGCAGATTCCACAGAATTTGCCACAATAATCTAAGGAAAGATACTTCCCAAATCAGCTACTGCATTTGGTTTCTTCCTTAAAATCGTTTTACTCTTCCTGCTTTTCTCACCAAGCATTATTCTTCTGTGGCAGAAATACTTGAGGTCTGGATTACATTTTTGGTAAGAATTTTAAGAAATATTGGTATCATTCGCTTATTACACATAGCTGTTACATCAAACTTAAGAGGGAAATTTTTAAGTAAAAACAAACATTAGAGTAAGTGGAATAAGATTTTAATCCCTTAATCTTTTTTGTATTTTTTATTTTATTTTTTATTTTTAAAATCTATTTATTTCTTTTATTATTCCATGATACAATTCTGTAGGCTCCAGGATTTCCCTCCCCCCTTATCGTCAGAAAATAATATGGTTAAAACATCCTAGGTATTTTTACATCTTATAAAATGTTTTCAAAAAAAAGCTGAATTTAAAAAATCTTATAAATTGTAAGATTTTTTTTTTAAAAAAAGAGTGAATTTCTAAAATCCTTATATTGCCATTTGAAAATCAGCTACAGGAGCAGACATGATTATTATTGATTATTATTGATTATTATTATTATTGATTATTATTTCATTTTTTCACATATTTCACCATCCTACTTCATGATGCTGACATTTCTAATATAAAAGCCAAATTCATACTATTTTCAGATATTGAAAAATCACATTTAAATAGTGATCTGGTCACCTACCAAGAAATGTTACGGGGTCTGTGCTGGAGCACAATGAGTGAATTAAGGTACCATCTGTGATGCTGACATTTTTTGTGAGAGTCGAGACTGCTGCACTTCTGACCAGTTCCCTAAAATGACCCAAAAAGGCAACAGACACTCGCCCAAGTATTTGAGATCCTGTCACACACACATGGGAAGCCCAGGGGAGCTCTGGGCTCTCAGCTTCTACTTACTCCTTTCACAGCCACTGAGCTCATTTTGGAAGTAAACCAGAAGATGGAAGATAGAAGATCTGTCATTCTAACTCTCCCTCTCTCTCTCTCTCTGTCATCCCTTCAAATAAAACAAAAATAAACTTTACCTTTTTAAATATTTACTTACATGAAAAACAAAGTGACAGAAAGGGCATGGGACAGAAACAGAGTGTTGCCATCTGCTGATTTACTCCTCAAGAGACTAAAACTGCCAGGGCTAGGCTACACCAAAGTCTGGAGCCAAAGACTTCTTCCAGATCTCCCATGTGTGTGGCAGGGGCCCAAATAATTGGTCCATCTTCTGCTGCATTTCCCATGCATATTAGCTGGGAGCTAGATCAGAAATGGAGCAGCTGGGACATGGACCTCTATTAGTATGTGTTGCTGGTGTTGCTGGTAGCAACTTAATATGCTTTGTAATATGCAACTTAGATGCCAACCCCTACACTTTATTGTTTAAAAATACCAAGAAGTTCAAACCCAAGAAACACAAAATAAGTATGAAAATCAGTGCTTCTTAAAAATCTGTATTTGATATTTGTTATTGAAAAAAATCTTCATAAAACATCTGATTTATGTCTTACAAATTTATTTCATCAACTGGATTGGCAGGAGAAATACAATTTCTCAGACTTTAAACAGTAAAAATATAAGTTCAACTGGTTGTTGATAATATAATAAAATGTGGTAAATTACGCATGACCATGGATAAGTAGAATAATCAGACCATAATCATTTCCCTTCAGACCAAGAAAAATAGGTAATAAAGTCTAAAAAAGTCTGTGCAATGTCATTAATTGTCTTGTTTATATAATGAAAATTCTGTGTATGTAAGAAATATGTGTAAACTTTATAGTCAGTCAATAAAGTTTCATTATATTGAATGGGCTTAATAAATCCATTCCCTTAACTTATGTAATATTATGTATAAATTTACTTTATATTCTTCCTTAAGATTTTAAAAATAACATGGAAAATGTTGAAGCTCTAATATTTTCTTATTTGGTGGCAAAACATGTAATGGTGGATCTTACCTTTTCTAAACATACTCCCACAACCATCCCTTATTACTACATTCTTATTCCTTCCTTATTTATTTTGTAAAAACGTGGTTTTGGTAGTTACCCTAATTCAGAAAAAAAAATATACTCACGGGGAAGACATTTATGAAAATGCAAATATAATATCTACACAGAGAGCAACAGTAGATGAATTGAAATGGAAAATTGACTGTGCATCCAGGTACACAGTCTGGCATTTTAGTGATATGACAAACAAGCTACACTCACTGACAGAACTGGGTTTAATCCAAGTCTTGCCCACAAGTACCTGGGAGTCTTTAGGCAAGTGATTTAGTGTCCTGAGCCTCCATTTATTCCCTTATTGGAGAAAGGAGAGTAATTTCCACGGGGTGCTGATGTGAGATTAAATGAGCTAATTCATGCAAGGGCAGAATGAAACAAAGATGTATTCAAAGCACCATGATTATTATTGTGGCCAAAGGGGGATATTGGAACAATTCCTTTATCCCATACCATACTGTGTCTTCCAAAGCTCCTTAAAGGACCGTGAACAACCTTACCTACTCCTGCTGCTTGGCCCTAGGATATTTTGTCATTAAACTTCCTGAAATGTGTATGACTGCTCTGGGAAATTTTCCTAAGCTGGAGAAAGCTGTGTAGGCGAAGGGTTAAAAATAGCAGTTAGTTATTTTTAACTTGAGAAAAGAGAACATTAGACTTCAGGGAAAAATAGTTGATTGAGTGAAAGCAAAGAAAAAGTGTTTTGAGGTTGTCTTGGCTGCTTCACTGACTACTATCTCAGTGTCTTAACAAAAAGGGCCCAGCGATCTTTCCATGACAGGTAAAAAAAGTGACCCATATTGCCTGTCTGCTTCCACATTTTACAAAACACCTTTGACTCAGTCTCTCAACCCTATTTAGGTAACACTGAAGCTTCCTCTGTCAATTAATCATAATGGATGAAAGAAAAACAGGAACAACTGATCACTTGCCCACCTCATATCCAAAGCATCAGAAAATGCTCTGAGTTCCTCAAGTATACCCAGAGTTCTATGGGTCCACTATATCAAGTGCTACAAGCTTGGTCTGTTTGGAGATTATTAATTGCTATAAGTTTTGAATTGAGGGAACAGTAGTATTCCTGCTAACTGTACACCTGAAATTTAGCAAAATGAAAATAGTAAACTTAGGGCTTAAAACTTTCACAATAATAATCAGAGGATTACTGATTGTATGAAGTGGGCTTAAAATAAGTTATGGTTCTAGACAGATTAGACATTTTCAAGATACAACAATTACATACAAGCACCTAATAACACAAAACTAAAATTTTCACAAAAGAAGAAATGTTTTACCACATTAATTAGAAAATCCAGTTTCCTCCATGTTCAGCAATTTCAGAACATTTAGACAGATAATAACAAAATAAAGTAATAAAGTAAGGAAGATAAGCAACACCATGAGCTAATTAGACCTAATCCACATAAACAGTACGATCTACTCAATCACAACAGAAGTTTTTCTCAAGTATATAAAGGACATTCTCCAGAATAAAGCATTCTTTGTGACTAAAAAAAAAATCTCAAAAGATTGAAATGACTCCAATTTCTCTCTAACCCAATGGAATGAAAGTACAAATAAATAACAGATGGAATTTCAAAGAATTCACAAATTAAACAGTGTAAATTAAACAT